AAAGATCTGTAGGACACCACCACTGCGCCCGTCACCCTGAGACATAAGCTGACAAATCTCATGTGCCTGTAATTTCACCAATACTTAATGCATAAATATCTGCATACTATATGTATGTACGTATATAGATTACATAAATTTCAGAATATTATAACACAAATGGACTAGTGGCAGTGGCACACGTAAATAGGTGATAGGCGGACGACAGACTAGCTAACCGCATTTTCTATTCTGATTTTGCGAAAGGTAGGCCGAAACGTGGCTGTAAATTTTCAAGTATAAAGATGTTCAGAAGCGACTCATGAAAGGACGACATTGCTCCGTCTTAATGGGAACATTTGGCAGCACTGCGCCCTGAACGGCTTTGGATTGTGAAGAGGCAAGACCACAATTTCGAAGAGCTGCGTAAAGCTGAACTCGATGCTAAACGTGACGAGATAGGCGAAGATCCGCCATTAACTACGTATAATTACGTTGACGGTGCACTGACATGCCCTCATATGTGCACGAGGACTTGCCGTGAAGATTGCCTACATTAGACATCTTCGAGCGCATCAGCGCCAATCCAACTAACAGTCAAAGTGTAGATAGATAGAGTAGTGTGTACATACATATGTATTATATTTCTTCGTAGTAATTTAATTTACTCGTAAATAAAAAATGATTTCTGGCTTACACCTTTACATCCATTACCTTGTAAACGTGTAGTGTCGTACACGAGAAAATACAATGCGAAAATTGATTATGACACAATACGAACCTCTGGAGTCAAGAGATCTCAGGGTTCATATCTCCTCTCCGATTAGATACCTACATGATACATTACGTTTTTTATTTTTAATAATATTTGCACGAGAACATTCATTTGTTTGTTTTTGACGTGAGGCGTCTTTGAAATCATACCGGTGCCATGGTAGATATATTATTTGGAACGTAATGAAATAAATCGATCAAAGTGAACGTTTTGCATGAAACCAACATAGCCACAGCATAGTTATTAGCAAAATATGAATATTACACGAAATATATTAAACGTGGACAAAGGAATACCTCTATGTCACATCTTGATTATTTCGGGGGTGTCTTTAAAAAGGCCAGGTTAAAAACTACCAGTATTAGTCTTAAAGACAACACGGAACAATATAATAGAGAGCATTGTGGTATAAAAGATGATGTAGTGACCAGGATAGCATGCTTCAATGGTTTGGTCATGTAGGAAGAATGAATATTGTTAGATTGACGGCACAAATCTATGGAGTGAATATGGATAGAGGCGTGGGTAGAGGTAGACCTCGCTGTACATATCTCAATCAGATAAGGGACGTCATTAAAAAGGCCGGGTTAAAAGAACCAAGAATAAACGAGCACGAATGAAGAGACTGATGGGAATGGAGGAGGTGAAGGAGGTTTGTAAGGAGCGTAGCAGGTGGAGGTCGATAATCTCTGCTACCCCGGTGGGAAACAGGCGTGATGATGTGTATATATATACACACATCAAAAAAAGTTTGCGATCAATAGCATAAGCTCCTATAATTCTTTAAATTTAACTTTATCAAGAAAAAATCTATGTTGTATGCTTTCTTTAAATAGGAATACCCTGTTTGAAATTAAAATATAAAACTATTTTTTATTATTTATTTTAAAAAATTGAGCCATTAATCATAATGTAATAGTGATAGAAATTTCATAGAAAGAAAAAGACTGTTTAATTAAACTTAATCAACAATTTATTATTAAAAGGTGTGAATTCAATATAAAATAACTCCTCCCCTGGCTCGAATACATGCGAAGATCCTCCTGGGCATGCTGAGGATCAAGTTATCCAGCATTTCCTGGGGTAACCTATCCTATTCTTCAATAGCGGCTTCCCTGAGCTCTGGAACTGTCTGGGGACGTGGCTCACGGGTCCATACTGCTCGTTTAAGAGCATCCCACGCGTGCTCTATTGGGTTTAAGTCGGGCGAGCCGGCAGGCCAGTCTAATCGTGTGATATCGTATTCTTGAAGAGCAGCATTGACTCGTTGAGCTCGATGTGCGGGCGCATTATCATCGACCAGTACAAATTGGTGCCCATGGTTTAATCGGAATGGTCTGACGATATCATCAATAGCAACTGCTTTGTACATGTCTGCTGTCATGAAGCCCCGATACGGGATCAAAGGCGTTCTAGCTCCAATCATAATGCCACCCCAAAAGGACACCGATTTTCCGCCTTGCTGAACTGTTCCAGTGGCAGTTCTTTGTCTTTCACGGTCGCCTGGTCTTCTCCAGACACGGACACGTCGGTTATCTGGATGAGTGCTGATTCGGGATTCGTCAACGAAGAGACAGTTTTGCCAAATGTTTTCGTCCTCACCTTCTTCATTTTGCCGAAGTCTAGCCCACTGCAATCTTCGTTGTTGACGTTGCCGGGAATTGAGCGGAGCTCGCCAAGACCTCCGTGCTCGTAATCCAGGCTGGTGCAAGCAATTGCGAACGGTCTGCGTGCTAACTTCAAGCCCAGAGGCGGCCCTGACTTCTGCTTTTATTTTAGTGGCGTTGATTGTTGGATCACGGGCTGCCAGCAATCTAATATAGCGCTTTTGGGCAGCTGTCAAAACAGTTGGGCGACCGCTGCGGGGTCGGTCAGCTAAATTGCCCATTCCGTGATACCTCTGCAACGTAGCCACGACACAGGATTGGGATATAGCAAGTCTGCGTGCTATTACTCTCGTGGTGTATCCTTCTTCCCTCAAAGTTACTATTCTAGCTCGTAAAACCTCTGATAATCCTCTTGGCATTTTTTCAATCACAACTTTCCGCGAAAAACATCTTGAATCGCTTATAATTGACTAAATCAGATTTCTGAATGAGCGTAAGCTAGGACTGAAAGCCTTTTTATATGAAAAAACAATTGAACGGGGTCATTGTTTTATGTTCTAATTTATTTTTAAATAAAGAATCTAAAAAGAAGAAAAAATCATAATATAATCTACAGTAACAAAAAAGATTTCAGTTTTTCGAAGTGATCGCAAACTTTTTTTGATGTGTGTATGTATATAAAAGTACCAAAAGCGGGGGCGTATTAAGGAACTGATACAAGTGGAAAGACAAAGGAAATTTGTTAGAAGCGAGCGTAGCAAGTGGAGGCTCATGGTTGTATTTGACGATTTTAATTACTATATTATTAGTGTTGTAAAAAATTTAAAAATATAGATGTTTAGAAGGAAATTTTATTATCTTATGTATTCTGCCAATCTTATTAGTTGCCAAAGTCATGCTCAAATCAAGACCTTTTCGATATTGCTTAAAATAAATAGATGCTTAAATCTATGGCAGTAGTAAAGATGTGAAGCACAGTTAAATGAGGCACGATCATTGCCTTTGTATGGAGTTAGTTACGACTGTATAATAATTTTTTTTTTTTTTCCTAAAATTCGAGAATTACGAATCCACTTTCAGATGGTGTCCGTAATATGAGAATTTGCAAGTGTAGAAAGTATACCAATTTGTTTTATATCTTCACTCACTAACGAACGCGTGAACGGACGGTTTGTTTGTTTTCACGCCTCAGCGCCTGCAACGATCCCCTGAGTACGAAAGGGACTAGTACTAAAATAGCCGCTTAATTTTCCGTTACAAGAAATTTTGTATGTTCACTCATATCTCAAACAAATCGACTCATCCGTAGAACAAAGATCTATATATGCAAGACTACTTGTTCTCAGGACATAGTACATTTCGGTCGTTCTTCTTCACTGTGGATGTCAGTTCGACTGTTGTTCGATTTTATATTTCCGAAACGAAATAAGATATATAAATTCTTAAAACACCTTTACATAGGCCTTAGTTTGAATAACGAAATTATTCTCGTAACGTACTTATCTTTTATCTTTTCGCTATATAATCACATCGGACTCTGTTGTTCGAATAAGTCGAAATACAATCCAAAATTATCGAGTACTTATTTTGTCGCGTTGTCACGATTGTTACGTATTCGAAATAAAACTTTTTTTTCGTATCTGTATCGTGCATATTTATTTTTTCAAAGAAAACAAGCGCCCGAGCGCTTTATATTTGGTTTTTATATTGTAGTGATGAAAAGTCATCAAATCACGTAGTCATACATTCTTAGTTCCAGCTCCGATCGAAACTCAAGTCTTTAGGTCATCCATTTTTTTTATAATACTACTACTTTTTTATATAATATAAGTGACGGGACGAACAAGTCGTATACCTAGTCGTAAGTGACACGCCTGTCCCTAACAATTGCAGTGCCACTCAGAGCTTTAATCACAAAGATCTGATGGGCACTGCCACTGCGTTGGGTGTCGGGCGCAGTGGCAGTACCCATTAGATCAAATACTAATTTTTTATTTCAGTTATACACTATTTTATCAGTAAAGAATTCCTCGGTTTAATTTTAATGTACGTTTACTAGCAGAGTAGGTTTTAAATTTCGTACATTTCATGTTGAAAAGGCACCACCTTTTATCTTTGATTTTAACTCTCGAAACTCATATTGTTATAATTGAGACAAAACAAATAATGTGTAAATAAGTAACACGTGTAATTTAAACCTACAAAGGTATTTTGTCCAAAATTTCTTACGTAATAATTAGTCATAATTGAGTCTATCAGCGCAAAAGTGGTGAAACTCCATGAAATGCATGTACAAACAACTAAAAGATAATGGAAGAGCGGGCCTTCCTGTCACAGGTGGATGACACCTACTAGGAAGTCCCAACCTTATTTTAAGACAACTAAGAAAAAAGAAATAAACTTTTTCATTTTCATTTTCATTTTCAAAATTATACAAAAGTTGTCAAATTCATTTTACATAGTAAACAAAAATCAACGAACTTGTCCACTTGTCTACTAATGCAAAAGAATAAATAAATAAACATAAAAGACCGACGTGTATTTTTTTTATAGATCAAAACATCCAAATATGTAATAATTATTAATGTGCTTGCTAATATCATTTAAAGTAATATTGTAGAAAAAACATTTGTCCACAGACAAGCCCTTATGCCGTAAGAAGGAAATCAAACTGATAGGAGCAGCGCTTCAGGAACCAACCAGCGTGGAATGTGAAGTAGACGCCTTCCCCCCACCAGACACCTTCGAGTGGATTCTTAACAACTCCGCGGGGTCTATAAAAGTGGACCCTGTAAGTAAAAATTTCAAAAATTTCAAAGAAAACTGTAATTTTTTGAATCATTATCTTAGACAACATCATATACGTTGCATATAAAGCACTTATGTTATGGAAATCGGAAATAACGACGCTACCACAAACACCCAGACCCTAGACAATAATATAGAAAAGTTAGTTTCTACATGCAACCAGAAATCGAATCCGGAACCTCAGAGATTGCGACACCATGAAAACTGGTTCGCAAACCACTCGACTACGAGATCGTCAACTATTAATATATTAGTGACAACATTATTAAAACAATATAATGAATAAATTGCTGACGAGAAATTTGTGTCTTAAAAGCAATGAATTACATTTACATTCATGGATAAACAAAACAGAATAAACAAGAAGATGCCAAAGCCAACGTTATTCCTGATGCCAATATTTGTGCGTAACTTTGTTGATTTTTGTTGAGTTAAACATGTATATTTTGTTGTTTTTATTAAATTATCTCTGAAAGCCGCCTATCTTGTCCTTTATCCGAAAAAAAGTCACCCTTTCAATGACCATTTTATAAAAGGTCACCAGTATTTTATGGGAAGCCCTTTAAAGTATAGGCAGCCAAATGATAGGGTGAAACTTGTACTACAAAAAAATAGCTGATGCAGCCAAATTATAGAGTTATCTAAAATCATTCTAGCAAGGCTCCTACGGACATATATTCATGTATCGAAGCTTGTCGTAAGATACATGCGATACCTTTAAGTGGCCCTTGGCAACTGACGGGGCCAAAAAGGTCGACGGACATAAAATGTACAGTGTCAGTATATAATCATCATTTCGCAAAACGGTTTCCATAAAACCTTATTTACCTAATCTTTGTTCCTGGGGTGAAAATGTTGAACAATAATCATCTTAGTGCCATTTAGATTATTTCTGTCTGATTATGGTGTAAACAGTGGGATTCCTAAATTAGGTTGGATTAATGCGTCTATTATGAACCATTGTTTGTTTTCAAGAATGCGTGGAGTGTCGTTTAAAACTAAAATTGAGGTCTTTGTTGATGCCCAAATATCGCCAGGGGTTGTACCATATATTTAGCATGTCTACTGATGTATATCGGGGCAATCAAACCCTTCGGTGCCTGCATACAAAGGCTTGTTGACCCTTAACGGTGTTGTCCAAACCCGTCAAACGTTTGCACGTGAACAACCAAAATAGACCTTATTGCAAGAAAATACAGGATATTATTGCCTATGGTTTCGGATTGGGGAATACTCAATAATCGTTCGAGCGTTTCTACTATTTGCTTCGCTGTGATACAGCTAAGGGACATATCTACAATATCCGTAATACATATTGAACTTAAAGCGAGGACAAACTCTGTTTATAGTAGGGAAACATATTTGGGTAAAGTATAAAGGTGCGAACACATATTTGAACCACCAATCATATACGTAACATAAATAAATAGATATATTTTGGTAATCGAGAAAAAAATATTTTTCGCGAATTCAAAATAACGTTTTTATTAAAAAATTGTGTCATCATGTATTATCTGTATCTGAAATAAGGCGATATATTTTTTATACATTCCGTATGTATATTGTATTTACTTTTACTACTTGTTCATCATAATAATAATATATTTGTTAGTAAGTCATGCCAAGTGCCAAATAGAATGAAATATAATAATAATGGAAACATTTTGCACTGATTCAATTTCGTTACTATGCGCTACAATAAATTAGCCTTTTTTTTCAATACTCGTACGTCGTACATTGTCGATATATTCGTATTAATGATGATATTTTAAACAACTTTCCAATATTTTGAAATAAAAATATCATTTGTTTTTATACATTTATCTCCGTGCATATCATTTAACGTATTTCAACTCGTTCTATTTTACGATTCGCTGGATATTATTCATCCCACGCTCGAATAAAGTTTCGAATAAATGTTGATTTGACTTCAATAAATTTTGTTTCGACGTATTTGTAAACTGGTCAGTGCAATACTTTTAATATAACTGATTAAACTCTACTGCCTTACGTATGAGCTGTAGAGTTAAATCAGTATGACGATTCCAAGTGTAATTTGCTTAGGTCCCTATGGTATAAAGATTAACTGACTTTGAAATAAACTTAACTATGCACTGTTCTAGTTTATAATTGTATAGAATTGCATATGCATTATATTATGCAGTATGAAAACATGTAAAAGGTCTTGGTAAAATTCTTTATTAGACTACTAACTTTAGGAATTATTTCGTAGTTTCAGAGTGTTTGTTTTTAAGCTATACAGTCTGCTAAGCTCGTTTGAATTTAGTGTTGTTTTCTGAAATTTTCCCAACTCTTTTCTTTCTTTTTGCAGGATCGCTTTACAATAGAAGCAAAAGAGGGACGCTCTGTGCTAACCTACACGCCAGTGTCAGATGTAGACTACGGCACACTGTCATGTCGAGCAATCAATTTAGCTGGACAACAGACGTCGCCTTGTATCTATACATTATTGCCAGCCACAAGGCCTGATCCACCTACAAACTGCACTGTGTATAACTTGACTGACGATTCGTTGGATCTGCATTGCCTAGCAGGTAAAATTATAATTAACAAATGCTTCTTTACGTAATCTATAATTGTTATATATAAGTTTATTCTTGTAAGAAAGAATCCCTTTATCCGGAAGATATCCCTTTATGGGCTAAGCTCGCCTTTGTACAATAACGTTTTGTTTTTTTTTGTCAAAAATTTGTTTTGTTGTACAATAAAGTATTTACATACATACATACATACATAAATTTCATTAGGTTGATAACTATTGAAAATGGTTGAAAATTTTAATGTGTAATAAAAGTGAACTTTAAATTTTATTGAATTATTATTGATGAACAGATTTAGTATCTCATTTATGTACATGATTTTATACTTATTAAGTATGATATATGAAACAAACTGAATGAACGTATTGCCACAGTAATGTTAAAGGTAAACATTGTTGTTCGACTTACTATTTTGATTGGGTAAAATACACTTACAAAAATTTACATAAAATTATACAGTTCGCAAGCGCTGTAATTTTATACAAGAGTCCGTTGGGATTTAAAACCAATTTAGGATAAACGGGAATGTTCATCAAACACGTCCGCTTGAATCGAACTAAAATATTTTTGGTAGATATCGTTAAAATCGTGGCTCAGTTTAGTAAATCGTCGAAGTTACATTCGAAGCAATCCCAACATGAATTATCTTAATCTGGTTACATCCTTTATTGCCTAAATTAAATTTGGGTTTCAATGTCTAACTCCTATAATTCTTAATGTAGGTTAATGAATTTCATCTCGTGCAAATACGTTTAAGAGTTTTGGGGATGGAAATAATAACTGCAATTTCATTTGGTAAAACATTTCGAGGATGATCGAGTCTTTTGTTTGTACGTAATATAGTTAACATATTTTCAATTTTATCAGCCATCAAATTAAATGTCAGAGTGCAAGTTAATGATACACTAAATTACTGGTGGAATACAGTTTTAATAACATCACATTGGCAACTATATTAATACACAATAGCTGATAAGACCATTATCTCGCCTAATTACACTTTGAATTTACCACAGATGATTGCATATTAGAAACTAATTTGTTCATTAATTTATAATATTAAAGTTATCAAATTATCATGAATTTTAATACGGTGCCACAGACTGGGTGTACCACAAGGTTAGGTACTCAGTCCACTTATATACTAGTTTTTGTTGTAGGTTATGAAGGCGGTCTTCAATGTGTCTACGTGGCTGAAGTATGGGCTAACGAAGGACTAGTAGTAAATGCAAGCAACGGAATTGCACTTTGGAATCTCAGAAGACTGGGAGCGAAGAGACAATTGCAAATAGTGGTGTACGCAGTAAATGCAAGAGGAAGATCTGAACATATTAAATTTACTGTTGAGACTGCTCCGCGATTATCGCCGAGAACTGGTACGATCAATTATTATTTTTAATTACAAACCGCCTTTTGGTTCACCAATATTGATAATAATTATGTTATCCCTAAACTTTCCCTGAAAGATCGTCGAAGCGACCTTTAAATTCATGTAGATTTCCACTCACTTTGGGTGCGGAAATAGCAACGCCTTGTATTTGAATAAAATATCCACTGAACGGAAGGGCAAGGGTCCCTTCACGTAGTCGGGCTTAAGGTCCAGGTCGTTACTAGCTATCAATTTTCGTTTTGTAGTTAAATACCGTATTATACTTTTCAGGGATTTTCATTATTTATAAAGCTGGAATTTACGAAAGTCTTACCAAATCACTCATCTACTTTTGTTTTGTGCTAGAATATTTATTATTTTTATATTTTGTCCAAGTTGCTCGACTAGCTCAATAGTTACCAACACACAAATAAAATATTACGAAGACAAACAGGCAAAATACTACGTAATGCAAAAGAAAACAAATCATACGTGCAAACGAAAATGTAATGGTCATATATTCCCTTTATGAACTTTTATTTCCTGAATTCTTGTTGAACTCGAGTGGGAACAGTGCTTACGCTCTCAAATGTTGAAACGTGGAAGATTTAAAAACTAATTTTACACCCAATTCAATTTTTTTTAAAGGAAATTCTTTTGTTTTAATACTAGGCCTTCCATTTTAATCTCTGCAATATGAGATTCCATTTTTAGCTATAACTTTTGTCATTAGGTACTAGCTAAGATTAACTTTCATTTGAATTAGATACGGTCGTGAACCAACACCTGATTTGTTTGGAGTGAACCTCATCTAACTGCAAACGGTGGGAAAGTTTGAGTTTTGGGAATTTGTACGAAGCGTTGCTCCTTTGATGGCGCGTTTGTGTTCAAACCATGTACTTAAAGGTTTAAAAAAAAACATTAAGTAAACTTAATTTCTTGCCTATTTATCTACGTCCATAAATCTATCTGGTTATGTATTTTTTCACTAATTCTGTATCACACATTAAAGATTTTCTATCTAGTGTTTCTGGTTGCGGCAATTTTTAGAGATTTATTTATATTTTGTTTACTCAAGGACTTTCTACAATTTCTTGCTGAATATATCCTTATGAATTTTCCTTTACACTTGATTAATGATCTACTGAGGTTGAAACAGCTTCTACTTTTTGTCCTCAGAAGCGCAAGAAGCATGGGAAGTAAACTGGGCTGTCGGCGGCGTACTAGGAGCTGCTCTGACAGTCGCTATTATTCTTTGTCTTGCCCTTATAGCTACGAGGATACGACATCGATCTAGAGACTATGAAGGTGAAGTATCGTGTACCCATAAAAATGTGTTCAGTTATATTTGCTTTATTTTCAAGATATACTAAATTATATAGAAGCCGGAACATGTATGTGTAGTCATCTTTCAAATAAAAGATAGTTTCAAACAATTAAAATCATCTCACGCATTTTCACGGTCTATTTACACGTTAGGCTTACTAAAATTGTGACTAATACTACAAACATTATTGTCACATCGAGTTCTTAGGTTTTCGCGATTGTTACACGTAGGAAATGAAACTATTTTTCCGTATTTAAATCGCGTATATTTGTTTTTTCAAACAAAACCGACGTTTCGGGCCCTTTACAGGTCCCATGGTCACATGTCCCATGGTACAGTATTTCCTCTAATGAAAAATCCCAAACAGACATAAGACTGCAGTACTAATTAATATCTTTTAGTTTATTCTAATTTCTATTAATAATTAATAATAAATTAAACTTAATAAAAATTCATTCAATAAAATAATTTGTAAAACTTAATATAGCGTAAATTGGAATGTATTCTTTGTAAAATTAAAAATAAGGTATGATAATAACTATTGTAACTATAGTGAAAAAATAGGGTGGTTTGCATTAATATTAGACATAACTGGTTGAAGACTGTACCACCTCAGTCAACCGTGACCATGGGACCTGTAAGGGGCCCGAAACGTCGGTTTGTTTGAAAAAACAAATATACGCGATTTAAATCCGGAAAAATAGTTTCATTTCCTATTATTGTTACAGTTGTCAATGTTACGGAACGTTATTTATTCTAAATCAATGTCCAGACCAGTCCTCAATTTTTAATTCGGTTTGCGTTAAACGTATGCAATATTGATTGACATATCGTTGCCTTACTTTCTCAAACTCGTATCTTAAACACAAAGTTACTGGAATGCAGAAAGTGGATTGTATCTTCAAATTTTGCGGGCTGATGTCACATTTCCTTCATATTCACACACTGGCTTTTACCTATTCTTAAAGTAAAGTATTAGTAAAGTAATGCATCCATATTAATACCCTAGACAAGAAATGTAAAATAAATATAAAGTTTTGCCATCACCTGAATAATAACTCTTTATAAGATACAAATTTGAGAGGGTAAGGTATCGATATGACGCATGCATTTCTATGTCCATATCAGTGCGCAGAGAGACAAGAACCTGGACGAAATATTATTTGAAGAAATGGAACAATACAGTATTGAAAGATTTAGAATTAAACAACAACATTTAAAAAATTCAAGCTATAATCTTATGGTCCCACAATATTTGATAAGTTCTATAATCTTCTGTAATTTTCAGTATTTTAACTATATCTTCTCCATCTTTTCGTCTGGTAAAGCACACGGACTATTGCCCATGAACCTATTCGGTGTCGGACCGGTGCGCTAGGGGTATGCATTGTTGTCCAACCGTTTTAGCGCGTATGCTATGATACTTCATGCGTGCATCAAAGGAAGACGCAAGATAAACATGAAAACGCACTGGTGTGGACGTAGCAATAATATTCAAATCTCTTTTGGCAATGGTATAAAAATAACTTTGGATATTACTACCGTGTCAAAACAAAACATTATAATATCAATAACAGCATTTTCAGAAAGAGCCACGTGAAAGACTTTTCGTTTTTTTTGTAATTTTTGAGGATAATAACGTTTAAAAGATACATTTAACTTACGTTGTATATTATTTAAAGAAATCTATCTAGCCATTATAATTTTATTCCGGAAACTAAGCTATTCCTATTGAAAAACGAATAAATTTCTTATTCCTCGGCAAGAGACGAAAGATTATTGTTGTGATTATTGACTTACAAATAAATGGACGACGGGTCTAATACAAAAACCACGAAAAAAATGTCCCAAGTCAACCTATTTAAACGTAGTGACATGTAAAGGAATATGAAAAAGCTAAAACGTTGAATTTAAATTGTAATGTCATCGCAAGTACTATCTAATTTTGCTTGCATCGCTGTCAGAAGAAACAAACGAAGACTAAAGCGTGAATGACGCTCTGTATACGATTTTAACGCCCTATAAGTTCGGACACTTCTTAGTGCGGACCCGACGTCCATATAAATGTAAGTCAATTATTGTGATGAAATTATAAAACACTGTATTGAACCCTACAGTGTTGTGGTTTGACACAACAGAATGTCGTTTTTTATTGTTAAAATTTGAGCCGCTCCAAATGTTAGTAGACCCCCGCTCCTGAGACATTTGCGGGATCTGAGAGTTTTCGCTAAACAGGCTCCCCGCAACACTGTACTCCATTTCGTGTGCGTAATTGTCAAACCAAAAGACTGTATTACTGCGAACCATGTTATGTCAAAATAATGTCTAAATTTTAAACTGTACAGTATATTTTAGTTTTTAATATCTCATTCGAAAACATTAAGTAATACCTCCAAAGTTGCAATGTGAGAGTCATCAAATCACTGTCAGTGACTTTATAGTGTATTGGTTTGGTTTGTACGGCAGACTAGTCAAACGTCCTTCAAGGTAATGAAGCTCAAATACTTTATTTGTTATGGATGTTTCTATCGTTTTTACGTCTACCTATCAAAGCTGAAATCGGTATAGTTGTTGGGAAAACAAGGCACCACTACATTCGCCAAAACGCTATTCTTTCTGTCTCTTGACATTTTTGCTAAAATTAATAACGTAGCTTCATTTCATTTTTATTATGACGCTCCCTTTTTTAAGTCGTTTAAGGACTTCTAATAAATTGTGTCCTAATTCTAAGGAGCTTTTTCAGTTCATACAATACATGTTGCTTTATTTTTTATAGCTTTAAGTTTAACATTCATAAAAACAATGTTGTAAATAAAATATTTAAGAATACGAACACGAAGCTATGTTTGCATTGTATAAAACTTTAGGCACCGAAATAATTTTAATATATTTATTGCATTGATCGAATTATATGTTTGAACGGTATATAAATTCTTTGAGTGAATGTTGAATCTATCGATTAGGAATTATTATTCATCATCCAGAGGCAAATACTGGAACAAATTTATAAAACCAGCGAGATTGAAATAATTGGAAATGAAAGTATGTTTTCGGAACTAAATCGCGTATATTTGTTTTTTCAGACAAATATACGTTTCGGACCATTCACAGGTCACGACCGACTGAGACAGTAAATTCATCAACCAGTTGTTTTGCTGCCTCGCTTAACCGTGATTATCGATCGGACGCGTAAAAAATCTGAAACGTTGTTTTGTTTGAAAAAACAAATACATATATACCATAGATATAGAAAAAAAGGGGAGATATGGTATGGGGGCGTGGTTCGTGTCACCTCGATATGGTCAAAATGACCATATCGAGGTGACACGAACGACTAAGTGGCCGCCATTAAGAAAATAATAATAATTTATATTAATTTAATAATACACAAGTACCAGTGTTGATATAGTATGAAAAATGGAATATTTTTTTTTAATATTAAAAACAGCCACATGGTTTCGAACTATCGTTTAGGTAGGACCACATCACTCGTTGAGTAGCGTCAGTTTAAGATTAATAAGGTTAACAATTGACGGAGCGGTTTCCATCCGCGCCCGCCTCCTGCTAGACAGCGGTTTTATTTCAATACTCACGACCCTGCAAGTTTGTGCGGGCACGAAACCGTTGCGATTGCGGAATGGACCGCGAAGTTAGTGGGAGTTAATTGCAAGTCGCGCGGTTAATAGAGAACTCACCCTGCGTGCGCCTGCACCACATTGCGCCTGAACCGACCGCCAAAGTGTGCGGGCGATGTCGGCCGTCAAGCGCGCAGGTCATCGCGTCCTGCGCGGTTCTACTAGTACCCTGCCGCGGCAACCGCGAACAACCGTCACCACTACAGGCGTAAAACGCGCCGTGAAATGTGCTCCTAATTTTACATACTTAACTGTTACATTCTACAGACGCCGCGGTCCCGCGGCAGACGCGGGTGAAAACCGCTCCGTGAGTTCTTAGTGTAACGAAAAATGAGTTTCAGCGCCATGTATCGTGTAATAGTTAACTATTATATACTAGTAGTATTTTTACTAAAACGCCACCTATTGGTGAATGGCTGAACCAGGATGAAAAAAATACTGAAATATTGTAATATAACTCTTATTCAAGTGAGTGTAAGTTTAATTTTGTTAAATTTTAAAATTGTTTTATGTCGTTTTCACGTTTTAAGTCCTACCCAATCAAAATCTTTAAGTTATGATAGTAGATAATAGAGCGTAAAGTTTGAATTGCACAAGAGCTAAAAAGTGGCTTCGACACCCGATCTTACATAGCGTCATTACATATCTCCCCTTTTTTTCTATATCTATGATATATACACGATTTAGATCGTAAAAATTAGTTTGCAATGTGTAACAATCGCAAAAAGTTAACTGGAAATTAAAATAATTTAGAATACAATAAATGCTTCTCGTAAAAACCAGGGAGTCATATTACTACAGTTTCACTTTTAACTAACAGTCGTTCTATAGTTTTCAAGGCAAATTCCAGGTGATATGATATTTATTAAAAACGTGTATCAAATAGTGTTCGTAGACCAAATATTCATTTTAGTGTGCAATGACGACGCCGTTGGCTCAGCGGTTTGCACTGTGGGCGCAAGATGACGAGGTCTCGGGTTCGATTCCCGGTAGAAGCAATTTTGGAAATGAAATTTTCTAAATTGAAACCAAGCAATTGGTGTGATTGTATTCTCTTTTCATGCTGAAAACACGTGAAATTTACCTATTGCTGTTGTTATTATCCAAATTACATTGTTATTTTCTTTTACAGTAACGATACCCTCGTCAAAAAACCAGAAGGCGAACCTACCTAAAAGAAATTCACCACACGGACCAGACGACAGAAATCCAGACTTAATACCGTTAAGTAAAGGTAAATGTTTCAATTTTCTTTTCATGTTAAGTAACATCTTAAAATGTTGCAATCAGAAAATCTACTTAAGATACATAGTAAACATCGGAAGTCTATAGCAAAGTCACAAAAACTACTATTCGACTTACCAATTCAATAAAATTTATATGCCTACAAATCGTTTAGACGATAGGAATATCTCTTACTTTGTCTAAAGGTGTTACATTTGTAATATTTTTAATCTTATTGTTTCTTGAATCTAAAGTTTAAAATAACAAAATTAGTATCATAACCAGTGGTCAGAAATTAGGATGCTCATTTACCTACAATTTAGTGCTCGCTAAATATGGAATGCACTTTTGAATCGTAAAAATTGTCGAAAATATACAGTGAAGTATATAATTGAAGAAAAATATACGTGTAAAATGTTATTTGTAAATTTATTTATCATTGAAATTATTTTTTGTCCTATTTAGAAAGTTGAAACTGTAAAAGCATGAGACATCAAAAAAAATCTTAATTGGAAAACTAACGTGAGACTCAGATATACTCACTAAACTAACTAAACATTTTTGAGTGACATGTTTATGATATCTTGTGACTGGTGTAGAGGGTAACATAAGTTATTGGAGAATATATTTAAAGTATAAAAATTGTAACATGTCATACCATTCTGACATTCCGGGATTCAAAATAAGAAAAAATTTATTTTTTTTTAGGAAGCCGCTTCTATACTTTCATAGCGAATCACGGGAAATAGTGAACTTTAGGTATAAAAGCATCCGAATTTCCGACCACTGATCATAACATATGAGTCTGTATATTTGTAAGGAGCTGAACGTAACTGGAACTATTTGTAAATTAACTAAAGCAAAAGCTTATCGTTTCAAGCATGAAAATAAAATGCAAAATAAAGTTTACGTGATCACATCATCACTGCAAAATTTGGTACCATTCATAATTTATCGCACAAGGCAAATTGAGCTCTCAATAGCTCCTCTCTACTTACCTAAATAAACCTAAGAATTCCACAAATACTTACCAGTAACTTAATTCCTGTTTTTAAAAATATGTTTCTTACCTTCGTTATTCAATATTCGAGTACGAACATTCATAACAAGAGGTGGAGACATTCGTTTTTAAGATTATACTTTTCCAAGAATCCTGGGAGCAAACAATTTTCCACGGAATTTTACGCACCTTCCGATAATCACGACTACAGTTTACATACCATCAAATTGACCGCTTACCTACCTTTTTGAAGCTTCTTTTATTTTATAGCTAAATCCTTTGAGCAAACTTTTGTAAATCACTTACAGAAAATTAACTAGGTATTTACCGATTTAAAAATCTGTAAAAATATATTGTTTGGTTTTGTAGCTGCTACGCTTTTAGCTGCTACGTCCGTGCTGCTACGTTTGTAGCTAGGATGTTTGTAGCTGCTACGTTTATAGCTAGCTATGAAGATATTGCAGGGTTTACCGACGTTTTAAATTTGAAAATATTGTAACGAAGCAGAGTTCAAATCGATTCACTTATATTAATTATTTCGACAAAGTACAGTAAAACAAATACCCATTTAAAGGATATCTTTACAAATTCATCCTCCTAAAAAGCACCTTTGTCAGACAAATGGTTTTAAGATAATACAAGAAAAAACAAAACATGAATCACGTGATGAAAATCGATAATCGATGGAAACGCCAGCATACATACATCGAATACTGTACTTAAATGCCTACTTAAGTGCCTAGTGATTAGGGGCAAATAAATTGTCCAAGTAATGGATAGAGGTAACTATCAAGTGAAATGTCTCAGACCTGTAATTTGCTTAATATAAAGCTTCAGAAAGTTTTAATGACTATATTTTGATAAAACAAATATCATTATATTAAATTGTAACTAACTTCAGTTGGACTTTTAGGTCTATTACTATAACAAGAAGGTTTTGAATTATGTGACATTTAGAGTTTGATTTATACATGATATTTTGAAAAATAAGTATTGGTTTGCATCCTAACTATTAACATGAACATATAATCAAGTAAAAATGACTTCTGTACACCAGCGAGCTGTGGCATGACTAGCCTATGAGTTTGTTCGTGCTGTCCACTTTTAGATAACCCAGATTCTAGTGGTAATTTCACCTCAAGTCTAAGCTCAACATGAACACGGAAAAAGAAAACAATATTGAGAACGACGACTGGTAAATACTACTCTGAAATCGAAACTGATTGTAGCATGTTGTTATAGTAGTACGCATGGAAGAAAAAAAACAATGGAAGTGCCTTAACCCTCGAATACTAACACAACCGTTGTCGCCAAAACTCAAATATTCATAATTTCAAATATAATGAAATCATGATAATGATTGGTCGTAGTTTCTAATTTAGAAATAAATAACTAATTTGGGACTGTTAATATAATTTAAACTTTACCTTGTTGGCATTTCGTTGAAAGTTCAATACCTATTATTCCTAGCTGCGAGTGTTGCGACATTTTGATTTTGAATTGAAATTTCAATCAATGTGCTGCCATCTAGTGGACAATAGCGGAACGACGACGAGTTTGAGACGTTTACTTAAATCTGCATACGACACACCACCATTATATGTGAGGTGTAGTATATGTAATAATATTACTGTGAATTATTGTGAACTGGAATACATCAGTCTCCACTGGATTGTTTATTTATTTAATTTTTTTTCATAATTTAACAATGTAGAAATGATGGAGTAAATGCCATAAGGCATTCTCTACCAGTCAACCATTGGACCGAATAGAAAAAAACTGATTTAAAAGGTTAGTGCTACATTTAAAACAAAATTAAAAAATGTCGTTCAATTTATACGGTTTAAAAATAATATAGTGTAAATACATACTTAACATACATATATATTAAACAATGCATACCTACTGTGTCGCGAGTGCCATGGACAGACATACAATCAACCGCAAATTACAACCAAACTCACAAGAGAAATAAATGTAGGTCATACAAATATTTCTCCCGGCCCGGCCGGGAATCGAATTTGGGACCTATGCGTGGCAATCCGGCACGGTAACCGTTCGGCCACAGAGATAGTTTATGTATGTATTGTTATTATATAGTAATAATAATGATGTGCCAAACAATCACACCAATTCATCACCATTATCAACATCAGCCTATTGCATTTTACTGCTAGATACTGGCCTCTCCTTTTGTGCTTCATTTCGCCCGTTCCCAGCTTGTCACATCCCACACACACCAATTTTATGGTCTTAAAGTAGAGAATATCCTGTACAATGAGTTAGAGCCATGAAATTCACTCCAGGGACTTGAACACCCAGTTCTCAAAGATAGCGCTACGCCAAAAAAGTCGTTAAAAACCAAAAACAAAGATTTGTGAAATAACGAACAACATAGAAACATATAGAAAAATTCGTAAGGTCTGCAGGTTCGTTCCGTAGCTCAGTTGATGGAGCGTCAGACACGGTGCTGAAGGCGCTGGTTGGAATCCATAATTTCACAAAAAATATTTTAAATGTCATTATAGAAAAATATCGTGATATTCAATAAACTTAATGCCCCAATTGGTTTTATCGGGAATAGAACTCGAAACCTCCTCATTCATTTACCACAGTAAACCATTAGAACATGCAGGTCGTTTAATAATTAAGAATTTTGGTCGTCCATAATTTTGGTTGTACATCTAAAATTCCGAACAAGGAGGGACTGGCTACTAATGATAGGACTATTAATTTAACATTTACCATAGTACTACTAAGCGTTTATTTAATTATTTTGGAAATTATGTTACCTTGGTAAATAATGAAAGGGTTAGTATGAAATTATTTATTAAATAATAAACAACATCACATGTACTTAAGGGAAGAAATGTCCCATTGGGGTGGTTGGGTTAAATTTTGAAGCACTTTCAAATTTTCAAGGTTTTCTTTTCTACTTCGTCAAATTAATACAAGAAAGTCTTGGCGAAAAATAATTTAACTTTCACGTTAACATAGTTTTCATAATTATAACTTTAACGTCGCGTAAACAAGTCTGCAGTCTCCGAGCACGTCATGGATAAACCTACACATTCAATGAAGTTTGACAAACCCCAGGTCCTTGCAAAAGAAGTCCGTTATCTACCCAGGATGCTGCGAGCGGCCATTGAAATTAAAAAACATCCTCATCAAATTTTAATAGGGTAGTAAAAGATGGTTTCTCCGTACCACCAGTTTGTGATCCAATATTTCCCCTGATGAAAAATTCCAACAGATATAAGACTGTAGTACTAATTAATATATTTTAATTTATTTTAATTTCTGTTATTAATTAATAATAAATTTAACTTAATAAAAATTTATATTAATACAATAAAATAATTTGTAAAACAATGTAGCGTAAATTGTATTGTTTCTTTGTAAAATTGAAAATAAGGTATTAAATTAATAACTTTTGTAACTATAGTGAAAAAATAGGGTGGTTTGCATTAATATTAGACTTAATTGGTTGATGACTGTACCACCTCAGTCAACCGCGACCATGGGACCGGTAAAGGGCCCTAAAAGTTGGTTTGTTCGAAAAAACAAATATACGCGATTTAAATCCGGAAAAATGGTTTCATTTCCTGATTATAATATTTTTTATTAAAAAGAACTGACCCCAAAAATTTACTTATTCGTGTTCGCTGTTTTAATTTAATTGGAATTACATCTATACCTATTTACGAAAAGTGGGTGAAATCCAATTAACCGGATTCATCCCCTATTCTCAAAGATTACCACCCTTAGAGGTGGAGAATTTTCTTTAAATTTGTATGAACCCACTACTGAGGTGCCCTCTTTCCAATAAAAAAAGAATCATCGAAATCCGTTATAAAATACACCAAAACAAAAAAAAAACAGACGAATTGAGAACCTCCTCCTTTTTTGAGGTTTTTACCTCATAAAAAGAATATGGACGAAAACGATTTTAAATATTTGTTTTTCTTGTCTTGTAAACTGTGTAGTTTGGCTTTTACGCATTTTCTTCA